ACGAAATTTAATTATAGTCTTATAAATTTTTGGAAGGTCAAGTTAATATTTTATATACTAATTACAATCTTATAGCTTAGGAATATATAGCGAAAAAAAATTATTGATAATTTTTAAGTATAAAATTTTGAAATTTAAAAATTATTGACAAAAACATTAACAAATAATAAAATAAAATAAAAATATTAACAAATAAAAAAAATAATAACAAATAATAAAATAAAAAAAAAGATTACAAGTAAATGTAAATAAAAATATATCTTCAATTAATTTATCAATGTACTTAGGATTTTTAAGTTTATGTGAAGACAAAATAAATTAAACGTTAATGGAATTTTCCACTGTCTAAGAAAGGAAAGACAAACAAAATGCATAAAAAATAAAATTCTACACGCAAAGACGATATTTACACCCAAAGAAATAAATGAGTTTAATTACCTAAAAACAGAGGTTGAAATACATGCATACAAATATATATTGTAAATATGTTGAATTACTATATATACATGTTTACTAAAGTGTATGTGGATGTATTTAAGAAATGAAGCCAGCAAAGATAAATATTTATTAAATAAATAAACAAAAAAAAAATATTTTATTCAGTGATTAAGGCCTTTTATATGCCTATAGTGCCAGTGGTGCAATCTGTTCGTAGCTGATCTTGTTCTGTTTTCAATATATAAAACACAATAAAACATTTTAAAATACAAAAGCAGAACCAGAATTAGATATTTTTTAATTTCATTTTTAAACACCAAAATATTCAATCAGTGAACTATTCCAATATTACGAGAACTTCAGTAAAATAGTATTTATTAAATAAAATAAATACAATTTTCGAAGTGATAATTTCATAAAGTGCTTTAAACATTATTTGAGATGTTCGAAATTTCGAACATTTACATACTCGGATGTAATTGTACTCGAATATTTAGATATTCGGCTGTGATTGTGCTCGAATATTTTGATATTCGGCTGTGATTGTGCTCGAATATTTAGATATTCGGGGGTGATTGTGCTCGAATATTTAGATATTCGGGTGTGATTGTACTCGAATATTTAGATATTCGGATGTGATTGTACACAAGTATTGGGTCGAATACAGTAACTTGCTCAAAAATGTACGAACAACATAAACATAATATGTTCGAGCAGATGTCACACAAATGATAACTGCATTCTATAACTAAATGTTCAGGAACTGAGTGTTCAGTAAATGAATGTGTACTAACTCAATGTTCAGTAAATGAATGTTTACTAACTAAATGTTGTGTCTTACTATACATTATGGAAATATGAACTATTAGAACTAGTAAGACAAACATATTAAAAGTTTTCAATATATGAAGATATTGCATAGTCCTTAAAATATATTGGACAGACAAAGTAACAAATTTTGAAGTACTGCGACGAATTCAAACAGGAACTTCTAACCAATATAAAGAATTTATATATTTTATATATTTGCATATTTAGGCTATATTATGAGAAATAAAAAATACAATCTACTGTAACTAATACTACAAGGAAAAATAGAAGTAAAACGTGACTTTGACTGAAAAAATTGTCCTGGCTTAGAAAGATAGAACTCGACTGGAATATATAACATTGGAACGTTGTTAACGGCAGTAAGAGATAAAGAAGCACACCATGAAATTGTAACAAATTTAAGTTAAATGTTAAGTTAAGTTAAATAAAACCAAAATATTTATTCAATTATATGATCACTTACATTCGATATTGAATACGTAAATAAACAAGAAATAAATGTTCACTAACTGAATGTTTACTAACTAAATGTTCACTAACTAAATGTTCAGCAGCTGAATATAATTTACATGAAAAATCATACAACAACTTTGAGTTAAGATTAATGAACTTTATCGAATTGTGAATGGTAATGTAGTTGTTCGTAACGACTGCCATTTGCAAGTACTATAAAGCATAAAACAGCTTTGAGGTTCGATTACCTCAAACATTTTCATAGTGTTCGATACAACTGTTCAAATTTCAGCATTGAAATGTTCGATCACTTTAAAACACTGCTTTATAATCTTTTCAATAGTGAAATAATGAATAAAGCTATTGTAAACCCAATTACCAAATAAACATCTTGATAAAGTTAATTTTCATATTCTTATTAAAACAATAAAAATATTTGCCAATATGTATGTCGATAAAGAATAATATATACACTACAAAAGCTTACTGATGTACCGAACATAGTATTATATTACAAACTTCTCGATAGAACATTTTTACTCTCTTTTTAACCAAATAACAACTCTTACTCGCCTTTATACTTGTTTCCAGATTCAAGTATACATCTATTCAAAATCGATTCATTTGCACGCTATTCACTTCTTATTCACTACGTTTACGCACGTAATAAAAACAACAATGCTTGTGCGCGACTTGTTAGGTAGTAGTATAAAAGTAAAGAGGAAAGAGATATTTATGGCGTTTTCGATTGGTAAATTTGGATTCAATTTAGATTTACTCTCGATCTGTAAAATTTTATTGCCCAATGGAACGTTTTAAGAGTAATCTTACATTCTTGTAGGCAATTATATATTTTTCATAAATACATATATCGAATCATATTACAGTTTATCTGTCAAATTATATAAAACAGCTGTAAATTTCAGAGTAATCTTGCTTCCCTGACAAAACATCTAGAGTGTTATAAATTATTATCAAATTGAAAATTACACTAAAATCAAATATCGATTGAAAAAGTTACCATAGATTTACCAATCAATCACAGAATTAGAATATTCAATCAATTAAATTATTTTTGCATATTCCAACATGATTTCTTTATAATTTACTTCATCAGACCAAATCAACCGAAATGTTATTAATTAAAGTTCAATTGTCATAATATGGGGAATTATTAGAGATATCTTATATACACTTAGCGCTAAAAGTCTGCGTTCACTTTTTAATATTTAAATTAAAACAATTAGAATTTACAGAAATATTAAATTTAATAGCCTGTTGGATAACCTCTGCGTTTAATAACACCTTTTAGGTCTCTGCATGGACTCAACCAGCTTTGCAGTATCCTGTACGTTTATTATTGGTCATTCTTTCTTGATGACGTTTTTTAGCATATCCCACCTGAAAATCGTGTGCTCTGGGATAATCTCTGCGTTTAATAACCCCTTTTAGGCCTCTGCATGGACTCAACCAGCTTTGCAGTATCTTGCGCGTTTATTATTAGTCATTCTTTCTTGAAGACCTTTCTTAACATATCCTAGCTAAAAATCGTGCGCTGGCGAATCTTATTTTCCAAATAAACTCACTGATGTTTTATGGGACTAAGGTCTGCTGATTCTAGCAGTGTTTGAAATTGCCTGGGAGCATGGTTCAGCAAGTTGTGGGTGAAAGTAGACTTTTTCTGCTATGTGTATGTACCTTCCATTCTTCTTATTACCAAAACCTTTGTTATATTATATTTTAATATTTTTCGAATATTAAAGCTCAGAAAAAAACTAATACTTCTTTGTTTACACTAAAAAGCAACATTGTTGTTGTTTTTGTAATTCAAATTGCAGTTAGGAGTCAAGCAAGCAAAGCCAAGGCCAGTCATTGTTAATATTTAATTTTTTCGAAAATATAAGCATTGTTTATGCGATAAGCTTTCTTACGTTAAATAAGAACTTTCATACCAAAAACAAGACTTGCTGTAAGAAAAAAAAGCACACTTCTTATTAGAATTTTCACAGTTAAACTGCAAAAACAATACTAACTGTAGGACCATAATTATCTTATAGGAATTTAAACAGTTAAAGTTTATAGAAAAACATTCTTTTGCAGAAATATTTGGAATCTTAATAATTTCATGTAAAGACCAATTAACTGCTGAGATAAAAATGTTTATCTTTATAGGTTAATTAAATACATATAATGTTGCATGATAAAAACAGCAACTTCTAGAAAAATCTTTACGGTACTATCAGCATATAATTAGCGTGTTATCAAAGTAAATGAAGTAAAAAAATAAAGCTTGGTCTTTAAGAAAACAACATTAAAATCAACAAAAAGCACTTAAATTATGAAAACATACGAGAGAACTTAAACCCGTAAAAAGAATAATAAAAATTAAAGATAATTTTTATGACTGAAACTCAATAACAAAAATAATTTTATAAACGGATAAATGCATCGCTTCTGTGTAACGTTCAATGACTTAAATTTTACTTAAATTTAACATTTGAACATATAAAACAATAAATTGAAATAAAATTTTGTGCGCATTCACACAAAGTTCACATACCCACACACATATATGCACTTAACATGTGTGTGTGCATTGTCTATTTATCGTAGACACAAAGTTACCGTAAAAAAGTTAAACAATATTGATTTTTCAATAATTCTAATCAGATTTTTATGTTTGTTCGATTTTTATTAATAAATAGAAAGCATAAATCATAGAAATACCCAGTCTTCAAGTGAAACGTATATGTGTTGGTGTACAAAGATGGCTGCATAAAATAATAAATAAATAAAGTAGAGAAAGAAAAATCAAAACATAAATTGTAAAACGAACAAAATGATAATAAAAAATATATATGTATGTATTTAAATATACAATTTAAAAATATATAAAGTAATATAAATTAACTTTCAAAATAATTACAAAAATGTTTAATATTTTTTTGCATTTCAATTTCGATAATTAATTCATTTACTTTACTTACAACCTTGACATATTATTTGTTCGTTTTATGCAATTTTAGCACATATTTTTAAATGAAACTAAATAGGATATGTATAAATATTTATTATTAAACACCGCCACCATTACCACTTTAAACTACCATTACGTGTTGCCACCAAATGGAACGGGAGTTTTAGCATAACCAATCCCGTTTTTATCTTAATTACTTAATATTTTCCTCTTCTATTTTATTATTTTTTTTTCTTGTTACCATAAAACTTCACTGCAAAATCGATTTTTACACTTTATTTTGCACCATTTATTTACTTACAGTTTATTATTCATGTTTGATGGCATTCTTACAATTCGTAATGGTTGCAAACTAAAACACTTGGAAGAAAAATAAAATAAAATCAAAAGCGTTGATGTAACTGTTTTTAACTTTTTTTTGTTAACACTGAATTTGTCTTCCGTCAAAAACAAAAACTGTTCACTTATTTCTCCACTATGAACCTTTAGCTTTGAAGTCAATTAGAAAACTGGTCCTTTATTATTTTTACACTCTATATATGTATGTATAAGTGATGTGTACAAAAATGTTTAAAGTGCACTTGTGAACTTCTGTAGCATTGCCAGCATTGAAATTATCAAAGAAAACATTCAAATTAAATGTCAACTACAAAAAACAGCTGTTGTAACATCAACTTCTCACTCTCATGTAATCGGGATGTAAGAAAAAGTAAAAACGTAACGCATTTTATAGCGCTATTTATAATATTATAATTATCACGAAATCCATATGCCTATTAATAATTTCTTTATTATTCATATGTTTATTGTTTATATATATAATTAGTTTTTTCTCATTGATGTTACTATAATTTATGTATAATTTAAGAACTCAACAAACACAAATACTAATTGATCATGTGGATTCTATATTTGAATTAAAGCATTATAAATACTTTTTAATATCTGCATTAAAATATGAAAAAATAATTTTGAACATTTTATTTGAACGAGTGTAAACGTTTAGAATATGTCAGTACATCGTATGAGTAGTGATCAATAATTTTTATATATAAACATGCGTGAATGTGCGTGAAAATTGCAACGACGTCAATTATACCTAAAAATACTTTGAAAGAATAAGCTAATGGCTATAGCTTTGCTAGACGAGACTGATGAGGTCAGAAGGTTTAAAAAGTTACATGCACTAGACCTCCCATTTGGAAATTAAGTTATTGTTAGATGATTTGTATTACCATAAGGACATGATGAAATTTGTAGTACTTGTAGTAAAACTCAAATAAAAAAACAAGTTAACTGCAAACTGAAAGCGTAACACAAATAAAGTGCTAAATTATGCTCTTTACATAGATTTTCATGGAACAGTTTGTGTAAAATCTGGTGAGAACATCAATGCTGCTCAAATAAACAACACAAAAATTTAAATTCAAACCAAAACAGTTGATTTAAACATCACACAAATTTCGCTTCAAATAAAATGTACGAGTAAAGTCTGTGTAGCATTTTCAAATTTCGACAGGAATGTTACGTTCTCTCAGATGCTCTTATTTATTCGAAAGTTTGGAACATACTTGTGCATACACATTAGGTCTGTTCCACGAGCTACACATAGTAAACCATGAGTAAAACAGAAGTAAAGTACAAACTGAGAGCGTAACACAAATAAAGTGCCAGATTACGCTCTTTACACAAATTTTCATGGAACAGCTTTGTGTAAAGTCTGGTGAAAACGGCTGTTTTTTGAAAAACAAAACAGTAGAAATAGAAATTGAAAAATAACAGACAAACACATTAACAATAAAATAATTAATATATTTTATTTATTTATTTTTAAACTTATTTTAATATATTACATATTATTATTATTAGGACTCATTATGTTAAAAACATATTTACTTTTAATATTATAGTCTTTATGTTTAGTTAGAATTAAAAATTTATTTAAATAATGTAATTTTAAAGCTAAGATAGAATTAAGTATATATTTATAAAATGTGATGTTAATATGTTAATTAGAATTAAGTTCTTTATTGCAATATTAATAAAATTAATTAATGAAAAATAAGCAATATACAAATAAACACTTTAATCCAAGTTATTTTCTGTTTGTAATTCATTCCAAATCGAATCTCTAACGATGATTGATCTAAAAGGGATGTGGTTGTTGACATCATTATCTTCCTCAGATTGTTCTGAAAATGTGAATTCTAAGTCGTTTTCATTTGCAAGATTGTGCAAAACGCAACATGCTCTTATAAAGTGACACGGTTTTTCAACTCCTTTTAATTTACAGTAGTACAGCTGTCTAAAACGTTGTTTTAAAATACCAAATGCATTTTCTATTAGTATTCGACCTGACTCCAATTTTCTATTGAAATTCTTTTGTGCACGAGTAAGACACCCGTTGTCTTTATATGGCGTAATGATGTGTTGTGTACAGGGGTATGCGGAATCAGCCAGTAGATAGTATTCTGTAAAAGTAAGACGTTTTAATAAATCTCATTTCCTTTTCCAAAGAACTTACCTCCACAGTTCGATGGTAGTCGCATATAAATAGGAGAGTTTTATAAGACCCAACTGTCATGACAGGAGCCTGGATGTCCGACATATATGCTAATAAATTTTCTGTTTTCATCACAGATGGCTTGCAGGCATAATGAAATATTTCCTTTTCTGTCAATGTAGTCGTCCTTACGATCTCCAGGAGGATCAATAGTTATACGAGTGCCATCTAGGCAACCTGCAAAGTAATATGTATTAATATATATGCAACGTTAATATGCACATAAATCCTTACCTATAACTTTTGGAAAATTGCATAAGCTTCGGAAAAATGTACTTGCTTGGAAAAATGAGTTTTGAATTTCTTGTCGTCATATTTGTAAAGAACATCTTGTATATAATTTTTTATACACACACGTTTTCTTTTTTTTTTATGTAATATCGAATACACCAATTCTACATTATCGTCAGAGTCACTATCTCGAAGTGTATTAACTACGTTATATTCTGGTTGTGTTGTGTTACTTAAATCACTTAATAAAATATTTATTATGTTTTTATCCATTTCAATATTTATTTATTACAATTGTTACAATTAAAAATGCAGAATTTTTTTATATTCACAAATGCCGCGCAAACAAACAATACAAAAATTTGAATTCAAACCATAACAGCTGATTTACACATAAACACAAATTTTACTTCATATAAAATGCATGAGTAAAGTCTGCGTAACATTTTCAAATTTCGACAGGGATGTTACGCTCTCTCAGATGTTCTCATTTACTCACAAATTTGTTCGTGGAACGCACTTGTGTATACACAGTGTTACTCAAAGTTACTATGTGTAGCTCGTGGAACAGACCTAGTGTTACTCAAAGTTACTACAAGTAGCTCGTGGAACAGACTTAGTATTTTGATACTTTCTAATTGTGCTTAAATTTAGAAGGTCATATTTCAATATTTAATATTACGCATTTGTCAAATCAAATTAAACAATGAGAACAGTCACAGAAAACTTTGTTATCGTCACCAAATTTTAATAGAAATTTAACAATTTCTTTCTTGATTTTTTTATTTACGTTGATAACAACAACAATTTCACATGAAACGTAACCATGACTGTTAATGACAATTAGAAGGAACATGTGATTTTATTATAATTTTTAACATTAGTTGACTTGAATTAAAAAAAGTACGAGAATGTTTTTTTTAATTAATAATTTGTTTCAATAATATGTTATTATAATCATTTACGCGCCTTAATCATTGTTCTATGTTAAGTGTGTATGATAAGTTTGAAGTGTCTTAGCCATTGTTCTATGCTAAGTGGAAATGTCAAAATTTTGTTTTACTTTTAAATTTTTTGGCTTCGATGTTGGCTGCACTGCGGTATTAAGATTTAATTTTGAGCGCGTATGTTTGCCAGAAAGTATTATTTCATTTTGAAATTAAATCCAGTGCCACATGCAAGTTAAAGTATTTTTTTGTAAGATAATAAAAATAAATGGAAAAAATTGAGGCTGCATTAAAAGGAACTCGCCAAGAGGCTGAGAGTATAGTGCCAGAAATTGCAAAAACCGTTGAAAGATATGGAAAATATGGTGGCAGTGAAGGACGCCAAAACCAATTGATATATTGTTATAAAGTTTTACGAAAAATCTGTGTGGTTATAGCAAATTACAAGGCGACACACTATGATATTTACTGTGATATTTTAAAACGGGCTTTTGAACCTCATATAGATCCAACAGCGAGTGGTCAATATTGGTCGAAATATTTGGAATATTGGCGATATTTTCATTATTTGATAATGGAAAAGGTTTTTATTATTTTAAAATATTTAATGTATATGAATGTAAATTATTTGGTTGTTTTACTTTAGGATTTATATACGCAGGCATCAAGAATATGTGCACATTTTGCTTCACAGTCAAATGTATTGATAAACGAGGATGATTATCAATTCATAATGAGTACATATTTTCAACATTTACTTGTACAACACAAGCACAGTTCTTACGATATTAAATCAGCTGAAAGAGGCTCCTTGTATATTTTAAATCGTTTAATAGATCTTTTTACAGCTATGCTTAAATGCAATACTGATTTGAATTTTTGCTACCCAAAACTTTTGTCACATTTCATACAATATGCGCTACCCAAACGTGCGTATAACTTGTACGACTATACCGAATCTTTGCCAAATACAGCTACAAAAATGTTTGACACCTTTTTTACACTTTTGGCACAGTTGAAGACTCCGCTGACTTCAAAGGCAGATGCAGAGTTAGAAGCGCAATTTCACATTAAAGCCTTTCTCGATTTTTTGGAGTTTGATGTAAACAGCAGTCGACATCATTCTTTAGTCATGAAGCATTTACGAGCGTGCCGTGATATAACTAACTTGCAAAGCAATAAATCTATGGGATATCTGTTCTGTTTACTCTATTATTATGTAAAATTTGTTTATACGACAGAATACACTGCAAGCTCAGCATTTTCTTACACTGAACTTTGTCACAAATTCAGTAGTTTCCTTGATAAATTTGGTGTCACTTTAATTGAATCTGCATGGTCAAAGGACATTCTCGCAGCATTTATTATGTTTTTAGAAAAAGTGCACGTTTATGATACTCCGACGCAAGTGCTTCCTAGCATTTGGCTAAAGATAAATACGGTTGAAGCATACGTTGCTCATTTTCAATTAATATCCAGTCTTATTAAAGTCGCTGGAGGTGTAACTGAAAGTAGTTTAAAAAAACTAAGTTGTTGCAGTAGTGTTAGAAAGCATCTAATATTATCTCTATCCCAGTTTGCACTTGTGGCGTATAATTACTTTATTATCGACATCAGGGTAAATATAAATTTCAATGACGTTCTTATATTTTTTTTATAAAACCTTTTTATGCAGGAATTTGCTACAGAGTTAGATGTTGTAGATAATAGCTTACTGAAAATAATACGCCATTCAATTGATGTGTTAAATAGCATGTCATGTTCTAACAAACCTTATCACTTTCGCTACATGTACGCACAATTTTCAAGTATAACACGAAATATAACAACTACAGCAAATGCCAAAATGTGTGTTACTCTATGTGAGATGCTAGTAAAAGTCAAAAACAATTTTGAAGCAACGGATTGGTCATTATTGCTAAGACGTATTTACAAGACAGTATTGGTTTCCGATGATAAAAAGCTGATGAAGCAATTGCATTGTTATTACATAGCATCTATGCTGCATGTGACATCACAACCTGATTTAGCAGCAATGCGTAATCAAATAGCAATATTTCATTCATCAGCATTTGACCAAGACTCTGATATGTGTTTGTTGGAACTGTATGAAAAGTCAGTAGGTGCACTGAAACCTACCCTCGAGCCACATCAGAAAAGGTTATTGCACTGGTTAGAGTTGCAGCATATAAATGAGTATAAAAAAGGAAATCTTGTGCTACGAAAGTCATTAATAAGTTATAGTCAAACGGAATTTGACACCGTAATGTCAGTACGTGGAGGTAAACTGCAATCAGACACTACTGTTAATATAAATTCTATCTATGAAAGACTGAAATCCAAAGTTAAAACAAATAAAAGTTTAAATCGTTTGGAGCATCTTATGTTTGCGCATGTGAGTGCATATTTTTTGCGCGTAAAGACTGAAAAAAGACCATCAACGGATGCAACTAAACACTGCATTGAAGAGAATTTGGAAGATTTAATGCAACACAAAGAGTTGCTAAGTATTACTGTATCTACAGAGTGGTTACTACTGGATGAAGCGGCAGATAGTCTACAGTCATTTGAAGCTTTCTTTTATAAGGTATATTAGTTGAATTATATTAAATATTTATTCAGTACAATTGCATTCTATATACCAATTTAGATCGATACAGACTTTTTGTGTAATGATGGAGCGTTCCTTGATTGGAAACTTATACTTGATGATATTGCAACAATTGCTCTTACATTCAACCTATCAGGCTATTCAAAATATGCCATAGAAGCTTGGCTTTTACATTATAAAATTGCTGACACAATTGACGATCATTTTAATTGTCTGCGTAGTTTAACTCAGCTGTGTGCATCATCAGAACAAATGGAAAATAGCGGAAAGGGAAAATCGTTCGATTTACAGAAGCACATCGATAGAAAGTTGCCTTTTATATTGCAATCAATACAAAACATATTACCACTACTAAAGCGTCACCAAAATTATTTACTCAATTGTTTGACACAACTTTCGTATTATTACGCGCGCAAAGGTAATCTCTGTTATACTCAAATAATGATGAATTTAATTGAGAGTACGCACGCTGAATTACCAGACCGCGCAGATAAATATGATATAATAAAGTTCACACTGCATGTTGTAAAATTTAAGATACTGTGGAAAAACTTGGGTAATGAATTATGTAAAACGGAAACCGATTTGGAGTTGAAACAGTCCTGTTTACTACGCCATGTTATGGCATTAGTAGACCAAGTTCGCAATGTTGTCTTCATTTGTTCTGATGATTACACCACCTTTCTAATACTAATGTTTGACTTTATTCAACAAATAGCTGAATGCGCTTGCAATCGCTTAACTGATAATATATTGAGTGGATTTTTTATATCTATACTGAAAATAGGCATTCAAATGGGTTTGGCTTTACGAATTGTTCAAATATTTAGTTCATGGGTGATGACCAATTTACAAATGGAACAAATTACAAAAGCACAAGTAAGTAAAAATTGATGTTTAAATGCTATTTGAGAGTCTAGAAAAAGGGTCATTATAAGTTATAGTTCAATATAATTATAATCTTACAATTTTCGTCAATATATACATAGTTTTTTTTCTATTAACATTATTTTGGTTCTTCTTCCAGACAAAGTTAAAGTTATTGGAATGCATATTAGGTTTGGGAAACTGCTCGGTATTAAAGCAAATGAAAAAAGAATTGCAATCTGTTGAACCAAAAACAGAAAATGCTTTAGATGAAGTCAATTTGTGCATGGAACCCATAAGAAAAATGGTAGTTACGCAATTATCTCCAATTCATGGGGTATGTATAAATTTAATTTATTTAAAACGTTACCAAAATTAATATTTAAAGAAGAAGTGTATGAGTTAGCATTAAATATAAGCTTAACGATTTGAGTTAATTCAGATAATTTAAGCATATATTGTAGTTGTGGAGATTTATATAGCAGGTTACATGAATAAATTACAAGTACGTATACATTGCTTTGAATATGGTTAGGTAAAGGAAGTGTGAAAGCGGCAGGGGATTGTTTGAGAAACTAGAGTAGATTGGGAATGGATGCCATTTATCTACTCTTTAAAAATAATCTGGATCAAGGCGGAGAATCTAGCAACTTCAAGAGAAAGAGCCAAAGATCAAATAAACTTAGGTTGGTGTGTGCATTGGGACATGAAAATAGATATGGTCCCAAAATGGGTATAGTCTGTAAAAAGATATAGTCCCAAAAGGTATATAGACCCAAAAGAGATATAGCCACAAAAGGGATATAGTCACAAAAGAGATATAGCCAAGAAAGGGGTAGTGTCACAAAAGGGATATAGCCAGAAAAGGAATATAGTCACAAAAAGGATATAGTCTCTTTTGGGACTGGTATAATTTTCTATATAAAAATTTTAATCCTATATTGTGGTTTGTGTTAATTATTGATTCAGTTATATTTATCGGATAATAAATCTTGTTTATTTTTACTTTATATTTAACTTTTAACTTTATATTCTCACAAGAGGAATACAGTCTTTTAGGGGATTATATATGTCTATATAATGCTCGTATTCAATAATTTATTATTAAAATAGTATTATTAATGCTAGTAATTTGTTAATACGGGCTTCGTCTGGTAAAAATCAAAAATAAGTTTTTTTAATCCTATATAGCAATTTATATTATCTATTGATTTAGTTATAATTATAGGATAATAAATCTTCTACAACTTGTTCTACAACAGTTGAAAATGTTTTTCTTTAAGTTAATTTTTATATTATTTATATTAATAAAACTATTTTTCTTCTCCAGAAAAATCTTAATCTTAGCGCTTTGATTGTAAAACAAGATTTGAATCGGTTCTTAAATTGCTCGAATAAATTATTGAAGAAGCATGAAGTACTGGAATGGTCATATTTTATTGTTGGTTGTCTGAATGCACGTTTATTGTTTCTCGCTTTTAAACACGATGCTTTGGAGGTGTTTTATGAAAACTGTTACAAATGGTTACAGGAGAAAAAAGAAAGACTTCCACCTGAAAACTATCCACATGTAGAATTGTTTTTTACGCAGCATTATGTCAATTATCTGCGGGCAATAAAAAAATATGAAAAAGCTCTAACATATCTTAAAAATGTCATTACAAAAACAAATAATATGAATCGGAATTTAGATGTTGCTTATCGTATTAATTTCTTATTACAAATTCAAGCAATCGAACGGGAATTGGAACAAAAATCGAAAGATGCAGCAGATCCATCCAAACCAACCAAATTACGTAGAATGCTGGAATACAATAACTCACCAGTTATGTTAGACAAGAGTAGAAGTCCAGTGTTTGATGAGAACCAAAAACAAAATGTGAAACCTAAGTCAATCAATATGAATAAAGCTTATTTAATAGTAGATGAGAAGAACAAAAGAAAACCAGTACCAAGAAATGCAATACCAAAAACAAGTACCAAAACATCGATTGCCGATGATTCAAGCCTAAGCACCAAAAAATCAAGTGTTGAGCCATGCGCTACCAATATTATAGTGTTGAATGATAGCACTGCTGAAACAGAACT